GGGGACTGGTTTTTTCACCACGACAACGCGCCTGCGCACACGGCAATCTTTGCCGCCCAGTTTTTGGTTAAAATGGCATGGTTAAGCTACCACACGCACCCTACTCACCAGATCTGGCTCCGTGCGACTTCTTTTTATTCCCACGGATGAAAAGGGGCATGAAAGATCTTTGATTTGACAGCGTGGATGATGTCAAGAAAAAAACAACGGAGGAACTGGCAGCCATCACTGAAGAGGAGTTCCAAGCATGTTTCCAAAAGCGGAAACGATGGGATAAGTGTATAAAGTGCAATGGAGAGTACTCAAAAGGTGATAAGGTTGTTTTGTAAAAAAAAAAATATGTATATATTTTAAACAAAATTCCGATTATTTTTGGGTACCCCCTCGTATATGTCAAATACTGCTTCCATGAGGATTACATTGAAACTCTGAGACCCTGTGGGGCGGATTCCTAAGAGATTTTGTTAACGCCATATAGATGTTGGCACTCACCGATATGATAAAGACCACCATGAAAAATTTGAAAATGATTGCTTCAGCCGTCTATGAGGAGTTTGCGTATTACAAAATGCATAAAAGTCTACGTATAAGAGCTTCGCTCACTTCAATCACTGCGCTCAATAAGTAAACACAATCATATAACTTTTTATTTTAGATTACATAAATTATAGTTGATTGGACTGTTGAATTGTAGTCTGTATATTTTTGTAATAACAAAATGCAAAATCTCAGTTATCAGAAGAATTAAATTAAAAGTTTAAAAAAGTCATAAATAAATAATATACTTTTTAAATGGTGAGTTAGAAAAATCAGAATCAATTTTTGTTATTCAATTAGGCTACTTCTATGCTATTTTACTTATAACGACTTTTTTTTCTAATTAGGAATTGAAGGAATTGGAATCAAGAATCGAGAATCTATTTGCAATAATTTGTATCGGAATCGGAATGAAAAAAAGAGGAATCGACCCATCTCTAAAATAGACACATCCACACAAGACAAGAAAAATCGGACTTAGAACAAATCAATACTAGAAACGTTCCTGTTCTTAAACTCAACAAAGGAATACACTGTTTTAAATGCAGTAACAAGAGACATGCAAATCACGAGGATTGCCCTGCTATGGGTGCTGTTTGTAATGCTTGTAATGGTAATAATCATTTTGAAGGCAGGAAATGTGGTTGTTGCTAGACCAAAATAGTTAAATCAAATTGAAAATGATCAATGTTGAAATGAACAAACGTATGGAGAAAAAGCTTTATGATCCAGGGGCAGCTTACAGCATTATTGGAGAAAATCTGTGGAAATCGATTGGATCACCAACACTTTTGCACTGTGAAAATCTTACTGCCTACACAGGGGTGCAAATTGAAACACTAGGCGACATCGGTTGGTAATTCAAAAAAATTAAAGCTTATAGTAGTCAAGAAAAATGATGTTCTTCTATTCGGATTGGACTGGGTACTTAAGTTCAATCTTCCTTTTCTTTACCACCAGGTGCTGAAGTATGTACAGTTACTCGGCAACCGAACACTACCACTTGTGTGAATAGCACAGATTTGGAAAGCCGAATTGTTGCTGACTTCCCAGAAGTGTTCAATCCTTCTCAAGGCACAATCAAAATTAGTAAAGTAGTATTTCACTTGACCCAAGACACCGTTCCAATTATTTTAAAACCAGCGGTTAGTAGAAAACCAGGTCTTGACGCCAGTGAATACGGGTGAGGAGCCTGTTACATGTTCTTCACCCATAGTGATTGTAGTAAAACCTTTGGGAGCAGTACGCATATGTGCTGACTTAAAAAACACGATCAAAAAGTATATATGATTTTAGACAACTGCCCTATGCCCAGATTTGAATACATTACTGCAAAACTTACCGGAGGACAAGAGATTACAGTCATTGATCTCAAGGATGCTTACTTACAGATAGAAGTTGACACTTGCGTACAAAAATATTTAACTATTTCCACACACAAAGGATTTTTCAGATATTCCCGTCTTCCTTTTGGGATTAAAATCGCAATTTAAGGGGCATTTCAGTGTAAAATGGATCAAGTACTGGCGAACTTGGAAGGAGTTGCATGTCTTCTCGATGATGTAATAATCACAGCTCCCACATGAGAGGAGCACATACGTCGAGTTAGAGAGGTTCTAAAACGTTTTACAGATATGGGGATCCACGCACAAATGTCAAAATGCAGATGGTTACAAGAATCAATCAAATACGTGGGTCACATGATTGACAAAACTGGCATACATCCCACAAATGAGCACTTGGAAGCAATTAAAAACATGCCATCCCCTAAAAATGTCAAAGAATTGAGATCGATTCTGGGGTCAATCAACTACTATGGTAGGTTTGTTCCACATTTGCAGTCATTGTGTGTTCCCTTACATAGACTGCTAAAGAAAGAAGATAGATGGCAATGGATGGAACATGAGAAAATAGAAAAAAAAAAACAAAAACACACTTGTTAACTACAGCAGATACTTTAGCTCACTCGACGAATCATTGCCGCTGATACTAGCCACCAATGCAAGCGAGGTTGGTCTGGGTGCTGTTCTCTTCCACAGATATTCGGACGGGACTGAGAGGCCGGTGATATTCGCTTCAAGACGACTCGACTCTGCTAAAACCCTATATAGTGTAATAGAAAAAGAAGCTCTAGGATTAGTTTTTGGAGTAACACGTTTTGAGCAGTATCTCTATGGCAGACATTTTGAAATACGCACAGACCATAAAGCTTTAATAAAGCTTGATGGAGAACATGATCCAACACATAAGGTTGTTTCAAACAGAATCGCAAGGTGGGCTCTGACATTGAGTTCTTACGACTATTCCATAACCTACCAAGAAGGAAAGGAAAACAAAACTGCTAAATTGCTCTCAAGATTTCCTCTTGAATCAAAAATTAAGTCAAACGAAGAACGCCTAGGAGATTGCAACGGATCTCATCTATTCCATCTAAGGTCTCAGTATTTACCATTGACCTCAAAGAGCTTGCAAGAAGCAACGGAACAAGACACAATCCTCGCTAAAGTAATAAACTATCTTAGAAGTGGATGGCCAGAAAATATTACCAACAATAAAGAAGTTTTACTTTATCACAAAAAGTGTGCAGCACTTTCTTTTGAAAACGGAATTTTACTCTGGTTCGGTCGCATAGTAATACCTTCGAAACTGAGACCAAGAGTAATGAAAGTACTCCACGAGGGACATCCAGGAATAGTCGCCATGAAAGGCAAGGCGAGATTTCAAGTGTGGTGGCCTGGACTAGATAAAGACCTGGAAGAACATACAAAACATTGCGTTGGTTGTCAAGAGAACAGGCGCCTAAGACACGGAGATGCCACTCTTCTCGTGGACCGTCCCAATAGAAGTCTGGTCAAGAATCCACATTGACTTTGCGGGGCCATTCTTAGGTAAAATGTGGTTGATTGTTGTAGACACACAATCAAAATGGCTAGAAGTGATACCGATGTTGACAACAACTACAATATCTACTGTGACGCATAGCGGCACGCTATATTTCTTATAGTGTCAGCGCTTCGTGTGGCAGGGCTGCATGGCGAACTCGTCAGCCCACCGCGAGCAAGCGAACGGCTTCCCACACCGACCTTTCCCAACCGTCTTCCCACTTCGACCCCGGCCGTCCCTGTCGACAACGGTCTGGAAAGAAAACTGATCGTCCACTGTCCAGAAAACTCTAACTCACCTAAATGGATAAGTTGTTAGAATAACTACCATAGTAGTTACATAGATTAATATGTCAGGCTAGTTAGCAAACAAGGGGGAGACCTACAAGGGTCGTCCCGACATTGGAAATGTAGGTATTAGGAAATTTACTGGTCGAGCCCTTCAGGCTCGGACCATTTTCAACTTGATTAGTGCAACACGTTTTCCCCAGAAGTTTCCTTAGTTCTTCTCAGTAAATTGTTGGTTATTTCTTATTTAAGAAGTTCAATCACCAGCCAATCTTTTCATTAACAGTCATTTACTGGGTCACAAGTTTTGGAAGAATAGTTTTAATAAATTAGTTGTATTAGCATAAATCAAAGCTGGCTATGCAAGCTTCCGGTCTGGGTAAAAGATCTCCGTCCTCTGGTCCCCAACAGGTCTTTCATCAATTACTTTGGTAGCAGAATCAGCACAATTAATTTAGTTTTACAGTACCATAACGTACATCACTAACATTACATCACCGTCACTCAGTAGTTAGCACCCCTCAAAAGGCTACACCACTATCAATGCCTTAGAAGAATTGTTCTTAAGATTCGGATATCTGAAAATGATCGTCAGTGACAACGGTCCTCACTTGACATCTCATGAGTTCCAAACGTTCTGCAAAAACCTTAATATCATATCAAGCACCCTCGTATAACGCCATATCACCTAAAAAGCAATGGGTTAGCAGATCGGTGTGTTCGAACATTCAAAGAACCTATGTGTGCATCGCAGAACAATGCAGGAACCGTCCAAGAAAAGTTTCTTGTTCGTGTACAGAACATCTCCAAAAAGATCAACCGGAAAACCACCAGCTTTTATGATGTTTGGATGCGAACTACGAACAAAACTGGACCTACTTATCTCCGATTCAGTTACTAAATTAGATTAAGAATTAGTTAGACAACGATTGGACAAACACAAATCAAATGGTTATTATTTTCAAGAGAATAACCACGTCTGGGTGTTAAATACATTAGGATCAGGTTTCAAGCGAGGGAAGATAGTGAAGGTAAATGGACCCTATTCATATCTTATAAATGTCAATGGTATGAACTGGAGATGTCATGCAGATCATTTGCGAACAGTAGTCAGCTATTAGAAGAAGGGGGGAAGTGTAGTGTACCAACTGGTGCTTTATTGTCACATGTTTAATATTAATGTATATTGTTGATATGTTTTGAGTTTAGTTGTTTATTTACTCAAGTTAAATACACATCAATTTTACAAAATATGTCTTGCAGCTTATTCTCCACAATACTACATAAACGTACCTGGCTAGCAGATAGTACTTCTTTAACTTCTTTTGAGTTTTTCTCTTGTTGTTTCTCTTTTGTAGATTCTTTTGATGATGGTGTCACACCATTTTCTTCAAACTTACTCTTTTTTGAGTTGTGATTTTCTGGTTCATGATGTCGTTTCTTAGAGGGGGGAGTTTTCTGCATATTATTGCGCAAGTTGTCCAACACATCATATATTTTATCAGAAAGTCTCAAGGCTTTACTTGACTCTAAAAGTGAACCAAGCTTATCTGAAACACACATAATCAATACAATATGATGAAGAAATTAGTACCAATTTTTTGGGTTTAACACTACATCAGCACTTGAATTGGGACAAACATGTCCACACAATTTTAATTAAAATTAATTCCAGAATTCATGCTTCATCAAGAATGTCTTTTTACAGTGATTTGAAATCATTAAAAATATATATTTTGCACATGTGCAGTCACATATCTGGTTTGGCAAAGCACTATATGGCTCAGAAAAAAAAAAACAAATAAAAAACTAATCTGGATAGCATTTTAAAGGACCAAAAAAGAGCGGTTAGAATCATGCTTAAGCTGCAGAGTGATGAGTCAAGAACATTAATTATAATACGTTCGGTACCGCAATAGTACAAAATTTATCATAGGCCTATTAATATTATAAATGTGAAAGTTTGTGTGTTTGTTTGTTTGTATGGTTTGTTTGAAGTCCAATCACGCATTAACTACTGGTTGGATTGGGTTGAAATTTGGAATGATGATAGCTCACATTTCCGATTAACATATAGCATATTAACATATATTTTACATATTCATATCTCAAAAATCCTTTTGGGCTCCGCCCCAGTGGCTCTAGAATTTCCCATGTTAACCTTATAAGTATACAAGTTGGTTCAATGAATTCAATTGCATTAAAAGGTTATGTTATAAGGTTTACCAACAGGGTGTAGCACTATTAATTCTTTTTGCATTTATGACAACAGCTAATTTGAACCAAGCAGCAACAAAAAGCTGTGAGAACTTAAAATTTTTAAAATTTTTTAGGTGCAGTGGTAGAACATTATGGCTATGGTAGATGTGATATACTTAGTATACAGTAAATTATAATTATAGTAAACCAAATTTTCTTATAACGTACAAGTCCTCTCCTATTACAAACGGAAAGCACGAGTATAACTGCAATAAGCATTTTCTACTTAAATACGCCAACCCCGTATCTGCTAGTCATTCATATGGACCAGCGCCGCACATATGAGACCGCCAGTTTCTACCAATAGACTGTCGTCGTATGTGACGCCTAGTTACATTATGATAAACTGACGTCGCACATTTTCGTCGGGGTTCCAATGTTATTACAACGCTTATATCTTTGTAAAGGTCTATTTGAAGGCCCTGAATTCTTTGCACAGGTCTACAGGGATGTCTGTCGCACAACTGCGTCGATTGGTCGGTGGATATGATGATTGGTGACATCGTATGATAGTAGGAAAAACTATTCTTTACCCTACTTTGCTGCATCACTGTATGTATGCAGCAATATCCTACAAAGCTTTTATATTTGTTCAATTAAAAACTGTTCTTGAAAAATCTGGTATTTAAATTTCTTTCACCTAAAAACATAAACAAAAATAAACTGTCGTATGCATGCAGCGTTTGAGCTATTTCAAGAAAAATATTATAATTTCAACTATTAAATTTATTATATTTCGCTTCTTATGGTCTTCGCTATAGACCGCGCATTGCAAATATGCGACATTACAAACATTATCAAAAATATAAAAAAAAGAATATATTATTTACACATACCATTGCAGAGTAATACAAAGTTAACAAAGTTAATGATCACTGTTTAACAGGTTTTTGCCTGTGGTCTGCGTATACTGTTAACCAAGTGACAGCTGGTCTATGTGTAAGATTAAATTGTATATCTCCGTGGCAATGACCCGGCATATATGCAACGCTCAGTAGCAAACGTGTTAAGGACCTAAAAATCTTTACCGTTTACAGGCAGTATATATATATATATATATATATATATATGAATCAATAATTCCAAAAAAACAAGAAGTATATTCGGAACCAAAAGAAAACTCCCATGCTTATAATTTCAAAAATAAGAACAAAAATATATACAACCACACAGAACTAAAATTGTTGAAAAAACCCCATCTTATGTAGGTAATAGATTTTTTTAATTGATTCCAAATAATATTAAAAAAGAAATTGATCCAAACCAATTTAAAAATTATATTGAAAGAGTTTTTAATAAATTTAGCAATTAAAACCTTTGAAGAATTTTCTAGCTCCCTCAGTCGCTAGGTTAGTTGACATTATCTTACTAGATTTATAATATCATTTTTGTTGTTTTTATAATCATTCCTTATGTTTTGCTGTTTTTATCTTGTTGAAACTGTGTTATTATTTGACACTATTTATTGTAAAATGTACATACAAATGAATAAAAATATTTGAATTGAATATGTTATAGGCCTACAAGGATCTTGGTTCGATGTCGATTAGGGTTTATTGGTATTAAAAACTGTACAGCTAAATAGGGTTCAAGAATTTTCATTTCCTATACTATCTATAAGGTTCCATGATCCCTTTACATATGGGATCATACACTCAATCGTTTTCTAATTAACCTTCTTGGTACTAACCCACTGTTTACTGACTTATTCCGGTGGTATTGTTGTCCTATTCTAATTGCTGCGTCAATTGACGCATAGATGTTGGAGTATAGATGAGATAATGTTGGACTTGAAAGAAGTCTGTTCATTTAACATATGTTGTTGCTCAATCTTTATGGATTTGTAGATCTCAAATTCTTCGTAGCAGTCTAAAAACCGGCATTCCATAGATAACGGGAGAGGAGCAAGGACACCTCAGTCATGACCACGCATCTACCCGTGCCGCGTTCCGTAATGGCCAGTGACAAATATTTGTACAACGTCCATCCGTGTTTTCATGTTTTATGTGCGTGTTTTTGTGTTTACTGACGACCTCAATTTGAGTAAAATGGCATTTTTAACTGCCTGATGATGGGATTTCAATCCCGAAACCGGTCGCCTAAGACGACAATAGGATAACTTACGGACAAGTAATATAAACCATTTAATTCAAAGTGATCCTGGACCACTAAGCATAATGAAAATATATTTTGTAGGTATTGCTATCAGAAATTGATAGATTGTGGTATATCGTTATACCACTAATTTTTATACATTAGTTAGCAAGATTAAAACACATAAAAAGTCAAATAAAAGCCAAGAACTAACCAGCAGTTTTTCTCTTATCATAGCCTGATATAAGACAGTTCATTGCAGTGGTGACTAGAGTGGATTCATGAAATCCAACACATTTCTCAACGGCTTTTTCCACTTGCAGCTTCATTTCTTCACTTTCTTTTTTAGATAGTGCCATTATGAGTGGTGTGGTTCTGAAATAAAGAAGAGAAAATGATAAGATCGGACTTAACAGATAGTGTATGCTAACAAGCTTTAAACTGATGAATACATCATTTTAAATAGCCCTATGAAAATAACATAATGCTTCAAGGATCAAGATGTTTATCCACCATTAAGTAATACAAACCTACGCTACAATAGGCTTTATCAGTTATACAACAGCATTGCAATGAGACAGTACTGTACCAATAAACTAAAAAAACCTGTCTGGGCCCAGTTGCAAGCTGTAGATATACAGATTTAGTGGCCAAGGAATAACATAGACTGGCAATATCAATACTATACATAGCATAATGCTCTAAAGTCGATTTGTATTTAGCTACGCTACACATAAGTCTTTTCCATTTCCCTCTGCAATTTTTCAAAAAAAAACCAACAACAAAAATATTCCAGAATTGAGATAAATTTCAGAGGTTTTTCTGTAAAAACTACCTAGGCTAAATATTGTTATGACGATAGTAGGAATCTCAATTGTAAAAATATCTCATCTTACAGATGAGAACACAACAAAATTGTGTGTAAAATTAAAAATACATAAAAAAGTTGGTGTTTGAGAAAGTATTACCTATAATTTCTTGGTCAGGTGATTTTTGTCATTAAGAAAGTTGGATACTTTCCTGTTAAAGGGAACATTTATTTTCAATGATTTTTTTTCAATATATCAAAATTTTATTTTTTGATCCGATTCAGTTGCGGTCCGAGCGCCGATGAGGAAGGACCTCTTATCTCGTCGTTCCAACCTTATCTGAACGCGTGCCTAGTCCTGCTCAGTTCCTACATTACCGTCTGTTTTAGGTTATGTAAGACTTTGCAACACATGTTATTTATTTAATTTTTTTTTCATTTCTGTGAGTCAGCATGAGTGTTAAATGCGGAAAGTGCGACGTCTTATGTTCGCCCGGTGATACTACCGCCAAGTGTACCGCTTGCAAGTCTACGTTCCACGCCATGTGTGTGCGCGGCTTTACTTAAACTAAGACTCGTTCGTGGAAGTGCGGTGAAGGGTGCAGTGAAGAAGCCTCGTCAGTGTCATCCCTCGATAAAGACTCAAGTGAAGATAAATCATGGTTTCTCAGTGCCCTAGATGACCTAAAAACTAAAATCAATTCCAACACAGATGAAAGGGTATCAGCTCTTCAACAACAGCTGTCTGAGTTTAAAATGCAGTTAGACACCATAGTCCGGCGCACAGACTCCGTGGAGACGTCTCAACAGCATCTGGAAGAGAGATGTACAAAGTTTGAAGAGGAAAACGTGCGGCTTCGCGACGAGCTCCGGACGACGCGCATGCAACTCGCTGACATCGAGCAGTACACCCGTGTCAACAGCCTGGAGATCACCAGCATTCCTGTAACTGCGGAGGAAGACATTTACACCTGTCTAGAGATGCTAGCCAATATCATCGGCGTTGCATACAGGAGGGCGGACATCTCCATTGCTCATCGGCTTCGTTTGTTCTCGGACAAACTCGACCACCCTCCTATCATCATTCAATTCACCTTGAGAACAGCGAAGGACGCCTGGCTGTCAGCGGCGAGGCGCAAGAAGACCATCGAGACCAGGGAGATCGCCGCAACCCTTCGTCCAGGGAAGGTGTACGTCAATGAGCATCTGACACCTCTCAACAAAACCATCCTGAGACGGGCCAGACGTCTGAAAAAGGCAGGGAAGCTGCACTACGCAGATTCGTCAATGGCAAGATCCTCATCAAGATGTCCGAGGAAGCAGCCGCCATCCGGATCCAGCAGAAGGCAGATTGGATAAATATGATAATGTTGAAAAGTAATTAGGTAAAACTAAAATTTTTTTCTTAATTTATTTTAGGCATGCATAAAATATACTACCAAAATATACATACAAATCTACCAAAATCAAATTTATAATATTTTAATTTCATGATAAATTTATATGTTATTTTCAGTTATGTTTTCTTCTCTATGCAGGGCTACTAAGTTAAAGTAATTACATTTTTATCAAAATATTTATAGATCTCAGTTCGGTAACTTTGCTCTTTGAATTTAAATTTATTTAGATTCACTATTTTAATGATTCATTTAATCAAGGTTGTTGTCTATGTTATGTTTATGAATTTCAAATTATTTAATAGTATGCTTCTTACAACATTAATATGTTTCACTATTCATTAACTTTTTATTTATTTATTTGCAAGGGTTGACTTATTGTTTTACTAGCTTTTATCACTACTATTGACAGAAAATTTTAATTGAAAATTAGTATGGTTTCAGGAGTGACAAAACATATCTTATGCTTTATTTGATATTAATAAATGCATTAACGAGACAATTTATGGCAACAAACGAAGTATGTTAATATTTTTAGATTTGAAAAAAGCTTTTGACTCAGTGGACAGAAGTCGATTGTTGCGTAAACTTGAGCTTGTCGGGGTGTGCGGCACCTGGCTCACTTGGTTCAGCAGCTACCTCTCTGATAGGCTACAAACTGTTGCACTTGGTGAAGTGTCAAGCGATGTTTTGCCAGTGGAGTATGGTGTGGTCCAGAGTTTGTCCCTTGGTCCTGTTTTATTCCTCATTTATATTAATAATATTTCTAAAATTCAAACAGATGGAAAATTAACATTAAGAAGGGTTTTCCTAGGCGCGGAAGTGGAGAGCGGAGAGAGGAATGCGGAGAGCGGACTCCACTTGTCTTAGGCAATTTAATGTTACTGTTTTCCTAGAAGCGGAGCGGAACACCATGTTAATCTCGATTCCGCTCTCCGCGTTCCTCTCTCCGCTCTCCGCTTCCGCGCCTAGGAAAACCCAGCTTTAGGCCTATTTGCTGATGATACTCTAATATTTGTAACCGGAGCTTCCTGGGAGGAGGTTAAAAACAAGGCAGAATCAGACCTCTGTTTGCTAAAAAATGGCTTGACCAAAATGTATTGTCTCTTAATATATCTAAGACAAAATTTATGCCAATTTCATTACGCAAGATAACCGAATACAAACTTGATAACCTAACTATTCATAACTGTGGAAGTCATTCCAATAACTCTTGTTCTTGTAGTAAAATTGAAAAAGTTGATTCATACAAATATCTTGGTATTGTTTTTTATTCAAAGATGAATTGGTCGGAACACGTTGAATATCTAAAAAATAAATTACGTAATATATATTTATGCATTTAGGCAACTTAGTGATATTCTCGAAGAGCAAGAAATGAAAATAGCATACTATGCATATGTTCATCATTGTTGTCTTTTGGAATTATTGCTTTTGGTGGTGCTTACAAAACTATCTTGCAACCTGTTTTTGTAGTGCAGAAAACAATACTTAAAGTTGCTTTTAAAAAACACTTTAGATATTCAACTGACGATCTTTTTGTAGAATCAGGAGTTTTGACAGTTAGGCAGTTATTTTTAAAATTTATTTTAGTTCACATGTACAAAAACTTTGATGATTTTTTTGTAAAAATTACTCATTCCCACAATACGCGCTTTTCTCGAAATCTATATATATAAAAGGCAAAGCCCTCACTGACTGACTCACTCATCACTAATTCTCCCACTTCCCACTTACCTAGAAGGCTGAAATTTGGTACACTGATTCTTTAGGCATTAAATAGGAAAACTAAGTGGTTTTTATTCTGATCGGACTCTCGGGCTCCGCCCCAGTGGCTCTGGAGTTTCCCATGTTAACCTAATGAGTACTCATATTTAAATAGAATTAATGAATCTTAACAGCTGTTTCAATTAAACAAGTTGGTTCTGTTCTATGATATTAAATAGCATTAAAGTTACAAGGATTACCAACAGAGTGCAGCACTATTATTTTTTTAATATTTTACAACAGCTAATTTTAAACCAAAAGTGAGTGAGCGTAGCGAACGAACTTCAATCCGGAGGCGAGTTAGCGTAGCGAACGAGCTAACCTGAAGGCAAGTGAGCGCAGCGAACGAGCTCCAACCTAAAGGTGAGTGAGCGTAGCGAACAAACTTCAACCAGGACGTGTGAGCGCAGCGAACGAGCTCCAACCTAAAGGTGAGTGAGCGTAGCGAACGAACTTCAACCAGGACGTGTGAGCGCAGCGAACGAGCTCCAACCTAAAGGTGAGTGAGCGTAGCGAACAAACTTCAACCAGGACGTGTGAGCGCAGCGAACGAGCTCCAACCTAAAGGTGAGTGAGCGTAGCGAACGAACTTCAACCAGGACGTGTGAGCGCAGCGAACGAGCTCCAACCTAAAGGTGAGTGAGCGTAGCGAACGAACTTCAACCAGGATGTGATTGAGCCATGCGAACGAGCTCACATATGAAGTTAAACGGGGCAAAGCCCGCGGGTACAGCTAGTATTGGTATAAATGTTCCACAAACTTTAAAATCATTTTCATATAAGAATTGCTTTCACTTAACCCAAATCATTTATCGTAACATGTGTAACAGATATCAAAATGTCAACATTCTAAATTCACCCTCTCTCTCTCTATTTAAGAAGCATGTTGTAGGGTGGCTTGTAGGACTGAGTTCAGAGGATACAGAGGCCATATTATCGTGTTGGGCAGACCTGACTGTTGACCCTACACTCCACTACACAATCACTGATACACCACCTTCACTCACCACTATCCACCTCTCCTCTTCAGTCTTCACCACATTTTGATAAATTACCTCATTTTGCACTAAGAGTTTTATACCGTCAATTTAATTCCAGAACACTAATAATCCAGTTTCAAGCAAGACAAATATACAAATTTTAAATTATACAAATTATTTTTTGTTTTCCTATACATTTTTTACCTCCCATTTAAATTAACTATTTCGCAACTCGAGTCTACTATCGAGAGCACAGGCTCTGCCTATGTAGACTTTTTCCTTTGTTATAAAAGGTATTTTATTTTATTTTTTTTTTACATTTTTGTTCGCTTTATTTCTACAGTATAATTTATATTTTGTTATCTAGTTAGTAATGTTTGCTGTATTATATTTAAGTATAGAAAAAAAATACAATGTAATTAT